GAACCCTGCTGCAGAAAGGCCCGCCTGCCTCCGTCGCTGGGCCTCCTGGCGGAGAGGAGGCCGGTCCCCCAGCCCGGGGGACCAAGACGCCGGATCTCTCGGCTTGCCATGTGGAGCCCGCCGTGGCGGCTCCTGGCAAGGAAGAGGCTGTCTCTCCAGCGCCCTCTCCTGTGGCGCCGCCAGCGCCCGCCAGAGTCGCGGAGATGCCGGGGCCTCTCGCCGCAGCGGGCGGCCCCTCCTGGATCGGTGGCCAGGCTGCCTGCAGGCCTTCCTTGGGGGTGAAGGCAGAGGATGAGCCCCTCCAGGGAGAGCCGGGGGAGGAGGAGGCGCCAGCCCCAGCCAAGAGCTCCAGCCAACCAAAGAGCCCGGCGGCCGGTCCTGGACCCGGTTCTCCTCCTGAGAAAGAGGCCCGGGGGAGGCCCCCCAAGGAGGAAGACGTTGCCGCTGCCCTGGAGCCGATGGACACCGCTGGAGGCCAGGCGCTCAAGAGGAGGACGGGCGCTCCTGAGGAGGAGGGTCTGGCCACGCCCGAGAAGCGGCCCCTCCTGGCTGAGCAGAGCCCCTCGAGGCCACCTTTTCAGGCCCCCCCACAGCACTTTCCCACCCCACCTGTGCCAAAGGTCCCTCCGCTCAGGGTAAGCCGGGCCCCTCTCGCCTCACTCCACTGGGGATGCTGGGGACTCTGGCAGGTGCGCTTGTCCACCCGGGCCCCCACCACAACCACGGCCTGGCGAGAAAAAACCCTGAAGTGCCCCGAACACAGGTGCCTGGCAGGGTCTTGAGAGGAGAGCTGAGTGGAGTGTGTGTGCGTGCGTGCATGTGCCAGTCCCCGTCCCCTGTAATGCTGTGCAAGGCTTCCGTGTAAGAGATACCAGGCATGCCTTTCTCCCCACCCAAGTCCATCTCTCTGCGGAAGAGAGGTTCTCCTCGAGAAAAGCCCTTGTTCTCGGTGCTGCGAGAACACAGCCTTCTTGGGCCTTCGGTCTGATGTTTTCAGGGGGAAATGGGGCAGCCCTCTGTCGGATCTGCTTGGATGTGGAGTCCTGCCTCGAGCAGCGGAGTGAGACTCCATGACCGGGATGCTGCGAGTCTGCGGGTCTTCC